ATGGATATCTATTTAATTTGTGTATGAATGATTTAATTGATATCTCTGATAACCTAGAATGGCCATTAGGATTATAATATAATTGCACGTAGAATAAATTAAGAGAGATCTAGTTTATTCTAGAACACCTTCACACAGACTTAATCGTTCGCTAAGAGATTAGTAACGATTAAGGGGCCGTACGCTCGTTTGTTTTGATAATAATTTTAGATACCTGTCGCATGAGAGATCAATCTGGTTCCCTAAATTATTGTACTCTACGCCGTGAGAGCGGTTAGAACTTAGTATTGATTAGTGTTGCTCAGTTAAATAATTTTCATGTGATTAAGCCTGATATGCCAGAAATCAGGTTACCCTGAAATCAATCCTTGTTCCCTTCATCATTAATTAGAAAGAACCATTTAGTTTAATCGTTTTATTCGTATTTTAATTTTCCAAACCAATTATTCTCGCACAATTGCATTTATTTTATTTCTTCTTAATCGCTGAATTTAATTAATTCCTGATTCCATTTTCCCTTCCCTGCAGAGACGATACTCATATTTACACCATTTACTACGATCTACTTTAAGTGCGAGAAAACTCACATCAACACCTCATTCCCAACTCCCTAAATAGTAAATACACGTATACATAGCATGCAAATCCGAATAGAAGACAATTCTTATAAAAGGGTAAATACACGCAGGGGAAACTAATTTTTGATAAGTTATAAACAATGTTTCCAAATTCCAATAAGCATGTAAAAGTGTAAAAGAATATCTATTCAACTTCCTGAACTCTATAAAGGCAGGGGCGACTCTACGGGGGAGGGGGTTCTAGGCCAAAAATTTTTAAAAAATTAAGCCCGGATTTAGTTCTTTATATTTTTTCGGGTGAAATTGTTTGATGTGCTTTCAGTTTAAAATTCAATCTAGAAGTCACTTAAACATATTATTTAAAAACACCGCGTTTTATGCATATTTTGGCCTAATGTTTTTTCAATAATTTATTTAACTGACTTTCCAATTAAATTTTAAGATGAAATTTTGTGTGCATAATCAATACTTGATGAAAAAACATTCTCACAAAATTTCATAAAAATTATACTTGGGAGCAGATTAGTTTGATATGATTAGTTGATTAGCTGCGCTTATTAATTTTAAAATCTTCAAAACTTCTTCGAATATTTGAATGTTCTTAAAATTATACTTCTTTGAATATTTGAATTTCTTGAATGTAGAATTCAGTTCGAAGGGCATCCATTCTTCAAACAGTTTGATCTTCAACAAAAGGGTCATATTTATGGTTTCATCTTCTGTTAAAAGGCTTCTCAGAATATATCACTTGATCTTCAATTGGACCTTGATTCAATCTTCATATGAATTATCTTCAAATCTTCAAAGATTCGTTCTTCAGATCTTCGAATCTTCAAAGCATCGTTATCTAGATCGTCGAATCTTCATACTTCGTTCTTCAATTCTAGACTGTGAACTCTTCAACTTTTAAACTTATTCTATCAAGAATGGACGAAATCATGAAGGATTATTTGTATATTCTTAATAAAATTTGTGTCTTGCTTTCCTTTCCTTGTTCGGAATACTTCAGAGCTTCTCTATAGTGTTTCTTCGTTCGAGAATTTTTTCATCTGTTTCTTTTAACTAAGACCTCTATTTATAGGTGTAGGGGATGAGATATGCTTTAGGGTTTTGAAAATTCGTCCATACCTTTTGGGCCTAAATTGAATGGGGTTTTGGGCCCTATTTGCTTGCGATTTAGAGCCCGTTTGGTAACATTGAAATCGGCTGAATCGGGTGATCCTCCTGAAACTAATGAAGTTCTGGCTTAAGTGGATGTATTGAGTGATTCTGCTGAATTATGAAAAAATTAAATTTCAAATATATTTTATTAATAAAATAAAGAAAAAATTATATGTAAAAATAGCTAAAATGGTTCTCTACAATAACTTCAGCCGCAACAGCCAAAAAAGAAACTACAACCTTACTTTTTCTTATTATTACACATTTCAGCACATGAAATCAGAAGTTACATGTTTGGTGAAAAACTTGGCTGATAAGCCTGATAAGGCAAATAACAGTGTTACTAAACGGGCTCTTAATAGCTAGAAAAATCAGCACTTATGCAGTGTATCTGGACAACTTTCTTAACAAGACTCGTAGCTATTTTCATGCGTATGGATGAACTTCTAAACTAGATTTGTCGTCATCTTCATGAATTGAAATTGTCTCTTATTCATTCGGCCACTATTTCATAGTGGGCTCAAAATGAAGAAATTAATAGGACTGATCCATTCTTTTAATGACTTAATTTATAATTAAATTTATTGGATATTTTAAATGATTCAAATTAATTTAATGACTTAAATTTTATCCAAGAGATCCACATTAATATTTTCATTTTGCTAATAAGACCCAATCAATTATCCTGAAAGGCCCAATGTAAGTTACATTAGTCCAACGATACTTAAAAAAAGTGAGTACGATTGAGAATAGTCCGGTAGCATTTAGATAAACTCAGTGGTGGAGCCAGAGATTTTTCGAAGGAGGGGTTAGGGGTGGACTCGGGCCGGTTCGGGCCCGGTTCGGGCCTGGGCCTAGCCGGGCCTCGGGCCAGAAAACTAGGGCCCGGGCCCGAACCGCCGGTGGGCGGTTCCGGTTCCGGGCCAAACCGGGCCGGGCCGGGCCGGGCCAACCGGTCTATTTTTTTTTTTTTTTGGTTCTCCTTTTTAACCCCCTACCCCTCCCCCTCAACCCCAAACCACCCCAAACCACCTCAAATGGCCCAAAATACCTAATCCAACCCAAAACTTAAAAAAATTTCAAAAAAAAAAAAAAAAAAAAAAATCCGGCCCGGACCGGGCCCGAACCGGCCGGGCCGGTTCACCAAATGGAGGGCCCGGGCCCGGAACCGGTATCCACCGGGCCGGTTCGACCCGAACCGCCGGTGGACCGGGCCACCGGGCCGGGCCGGTTCACACAGTAACCGGGCCGGGCCGGTTCCGGTTCGGGCCGCCCGGCCCGAGTCCAGCACTAGGAGGGGTGTACTGAAGGTAATGAATTTTGTGTATTCGCTCAAAATATAATAAAAACAATAAAAGCGTAATACATTAGCACAAATCAGTTCATTACATACTGCTTGACTCATCAAATCTATAATCTTCGTAGATCAATCATTCGAGTTTTAATTTGTTCAAAATGTTCGAGATTTATGTTGGAAAAACACAACCCCGGCCTTTTCTAGGATCACGAACTCATAGACTCTTGTACACTTATATATCCACACAGTCATAATACAAAGACTTAATCTGACAATATCACTTTGTATTACCCTCACTCACTTTTTGTATATGAGACTACATTCTACCTCACTTGATCACATACAATTCATCAAGCGATATCTTTGAGCCTTCTTCTTTACAAGAAGGCTCTCACTCTCCTCTTTCAAGGAGACTCTCATTTTCACTCACTCAAGAGCTCTCATCAAAGTTCTCATATAAATGGGAAGCTTCTCTATACTAATCTCATCAAAGTTTCTCTAGAATTTTTTATACATCACCACACATTTAGATTCTTCCAAAAAGTATCCACAAACTTCTCTTATCTTCTGGTAGGATTTAGAAAATCCCACAATTCTTCAAAATGTTCTAGAGGCTTCTATACACTTCCACATGATTTTAATGAGTTCCACACTTCTCTAGAAAACTTCACATTATTATTTCAAAACATTCAATACTTCTCTACACACACATATATAGAATCTCTTGGAAATCGGTCTCTAAAAATTCTAAAATTCTCATGAATTTCTCCACTAAGGTGGGAATCCAACATAATCTCAAGAATGTTTTGATCTTTTTTGTTACAAGAAACGTGACCACGTATTCGTCAAACTCAACACTTTCTTGCTCACTATAACCACGAAAAGCCAACCTGTGTATCATTAAATATTTAAATGTCTCAAATAATCCACACTTCCATTCAAATGAGTGTGGTATGTTGCAACCAATACTTGTATTTCTAGAGACACGTATGTTTTCTGAAAGACTTTGACTTTTATTTTAACACTTAATCTAAAACTATCCTTAATTGGTATTTACTTTTGAAAAAAGGAGGGATATTAAATATATTATAAGTAGTAGTACTAAAAACATTGCCCGAAGCTGGGGCGCTTGCCCCCTCATGCCCCTTCCTAACTCCTCCACTTGATAAACTCAATAATATTATGGGCTATTGAAAAGTCCAAAATATTAAATACTCCATACTACATAATTTTTTATTTCTACATATGCCTCCTCAACACTTATGTTTGGCAGAAGGGAAAAAGTAAGTCTCGGCCATGACTGACCAATTCATGTGCATATTTACTTCTTTCTCTCTTTTTTTAATAGGCCCAAAATTAGGATACAAAAAAGTCCAGATAATGCTTTTGATATCCAATTAGGACTTAAACTCAATCTCTCTGTGATTCATCTCTTCGAATTCGAATCGGGATAAGGGTCAGTTTGGTCCTCGAAGTTGCAAAAAAGGGGTCAAATAAGTCCTTATATAGAAGATTCTGTCCGGACGTGCCATTTGAGGTGGCTCCCGGTGGATTTTTTTTATGAAATTTTTTGAGTATATTATTCATTAAGTCTAGTTCACTCATACCAAATTTCAGATAAAAAATCAACTGGGAAGACATTCAAATGAATTCTTGAAAATAACTGTGCCGTTAAAAACATAGTTATCTGCAAGAGTTCATTTGAATGTCTTCCCGATTGAATTTTTAGCTGAAATTTTGTATGAGTGAACTAGACTTAATGAATAAGATGTTAAAAAAATTTATCAAAAAAATCCACCGGGAGCCACCTCAAATGGCACGTCCGGACAAAATCTTCTATATAAGGACTTATTTGACCCCTTTTTTGCAACTTCGAGGACCAAACTGACTCTTTACTCAATTCGAATCATACTCAAACTCTTACGTTGGTATTTATAAATATCAGTCAATTTGGGTTTAGAGATTTAAAGCTATTTTCTTCAGTCCTTGATTATATATCCTTGATCATTAATTCTCTATCCCGTTGCTTTGTGTTGGCTTATTGCAGGGGCCAGGGAGGATATGATTTTCGGCAATATGTTGAAGAAGAAGGAACCTGTTCCGTCCAGAGGTGCAGTGAATGTTCAGGAGTAGATCGAATTTCAATGCTCGGGAGAAGACGCCGAGGTTGACGAATGGTCGTCGCTCGTGCTGTCAGAGGTTGGTGTCGCCCAGGAGCTGATTCCGTCGCAGGTCCCGATGTCGCTGCCTGAGAAGATGATGGAGCTGTCGTGCCGGAGGTCGGAAGCCGATGCGATCCCCCTGCTGCAGGCTTTTCTTTACCAATGCTTATGTTCGCCGATGAGGAGCACGATCGATTGCTAGGCTGCTGCTCCCCCTTGCATGAAGATGACCACAGAAAAGAGATTGAGGAGCCCTTCCGTGAGCTATTTTTTTTATATTATTATTATTATTATTATTATTATTATTATTATTATTATTATTATTATTATTATTATTATTATTATTATTATTATTATTATTATTATTATTATTATTATTATTATTATTATTATTATTATTATTATTATTATTATTATTATTATTATTATTATTATTATTATTATTATTATTATTATTATTATTATTATTATTATTATTATTATTATTATTATTATTATTATTATTATTATTATTATTATTATTATTATTATTATTATTATTATTATTATTATTATTATTATTATTATTATTATTATTATTATTATTATTATTATTATTATTATTATTATTATTATTATTATTATTATTATTATTATTATTATTATTATTATTATTATTATTATTATTATTATTATTATTATTATTATTATTATTATTATTATTATTATTATTATTATTATTATTATTATTATTATTATTATTATTATTATTATTATTATTATTATTATTATTATTATTATTATTATTATTATTATTATTATTATTATTATTATTATTATTATTATTATTATTATTATTATTATTATTATTATTATTATTATTATTATTATTATTATTATTATTATTATTATTATTATTATTATTATTATTATTATTATTATTATTATTATTATTATTATTATTATTATTATTATTATTATTATTATTATTATTATTATTATTATTATTATTATTATTATTATTATTATTATTATTATTATTATTATTATTATTATTATTATTATTATTATTATTATTATTATTATTATTATTATTATTATTATTATTATTATTATTATTATTATTATTATTATTATTATTATTATTATTATTATTATTATTATTATTATTATTATTATTATTATTATTATTATTATTATTATTATTATTATTATTATTATTATTATTATTATTATTATTATTATTATTATTATTATTATTATTATTATTATTATTATTATTATTATTATTATTATTATTATTATTATTATTATTATTATTATTATTATTATTATTATTATTATTATTATTATTATTATTATTATTATTATTATTATTATTATTATTATTATTATTATTATTATTATTATTATTATTATTATTATTATTATTATTATTATTATTATTATTATTATTATTATTATTATTATTATTATTATTATTATTATTATTATTATTATTATTATTATTATTATTATTATTATTATTATTATTATTATTATTATTATTATTATTATTATTATTATTATTATTATTATTATTATTATTATTATTATTATTATTATTATTATTATTATTATTATTATTATTATTATTATTATTATTACTATTATTACTATTATTATTACTATTATTACTATTATTACTATTATTATTATTATTATTACTATTATTATTATTATTATTATTATTATTATTATTATTATTATTATTATTATTATTATTATTATTATTATTATTATTATTATTATTATTATTATTATTATTATTATTATTATTATTATTATTATTATTATTATTATTATTATTATTATTATTATTATTATTATTATTATTATTATTATTATTATTATTATTATTATTATTATTATTATTATTATTATTATTATTATTATTATTATTATTATTATTATTATTATTATTATTATTATTATTATTATTATTATTATTATTATTATTATTATTATTATTATTATTATTATTATTATATTATACTATGCCTTTTTTAGTAACAGTGATAATGATGACATTTTTTATTTCTTGCAGAACAAGATGATACATTATAAAGAAATTAAGCGTGGAAGCAAAAAAGTATCTCTTTGTGTCAACGATCAAGAAGAACGACGATGAGATCCTTTCGGAGATGTATAAGTCATTTGCTCGCGAGCTTTGGGGTGCAATTGTCGTCTTGTACCAATATACAGACTAAACTCGTGAGTGCGGGTATCAAACTCAAACTATGCGGACTTTAGTATCTGATTTTATTCATAGGTCTTCTTTTGAGATTCCCCCTTCTTTGCGTAGACGGATCCTTAGTGAAAACGCCCCTTTGAAAAAGACCTTATCATTTGGTGGCGAGTTAAGATTCATCATAGGTTAATTGAACTAGGTTGAGGACATTTTGAGTCCGAGTAAAAGCATTCTGGAGGAGGGGCTTATTTGTGATGTCGTTTATGCCTCATTGTTCACGTATGACATGTGTACTAATGTTGTAGAAGCATATTGCGAGACATTGTGTTTCATGGTAAATACTTTGCCCACGTCCATTGGTGAGTTGGCGATCGCATATTGGGACTTGCATGTTATTATAGGATTACCTATCATATGAGACGCATATGATAAATCTAATCCAAGCACTTCCGAGTTGTTAGATGCGAGTGCTGACCGTCCACATCAGTTGTGCAAATACTTATTTCACGCATATCATCATCTTTTTTCGAAAACAAGAGATAAACGAGTTTTGTGTGTTAATGCTTGGGTCAAATTCTTGTTCAAGAAGGTCTTCAAGTATATCATGCCTCCATTGAGAACAACAAAGAAAAGATCATCTCGTGCTAAGGCAACTCATAATCCGAGCGGAGTTATTCCAAAATTTGGAGGATGGTCAAATTCAATGAAGGTACTGTTCTATGTACTCAAGATTTCTGCTGAATATGAGGAAGAGGTTTACTTAGAGACATTTCTATCATGTTGGCTCTGTGCGTTTGTATTGCCACATGAAGGTTCCAGAGTCATCTGTCCAGAAATACTCAAAGTTACTTGTATGATGGCTAGAGGTAAACGGATATGCCTTGCAGTCTCGATTCTTGTAAGTATTTACCATGAGTTTAATCGGACTTTAAATGCTCCAACTAGTGGTCAAGTTAGAACGTGCTTTCCTACTCACTATTCCATGAGAAGCAGAGAATTATGATGCCAACCATCCATAGACATAGTGAAAAAGAAAGCATGTTCTAACTTGATCAGATGTTGGAGCATTTGAGATCTCATTAAGCTCATGATAAATATTGGGTCTGCAAGGCATACCTGTTTCCTTCAAGCCATCATACAAGCAACTTTGAATTTTACCGGGCGGATAACTCTGTGACCTTCATGTAGCAATATAAATGCAAAAAACAAACATGATAGAAATGATGCTAAGTACATGGAACAATAACCTCATAAAATTTGACCATTCTCCAAATTTTGGAATAGCTCTGCTCAGATTATGGGTTGCCTTAACACGAGATGATCTTTTCTATTTTGTTCTCAATGGAGGCACGGTATACTTGGAGGCCTTCTTGAACCAGAATTTGACCCACGCATGAACACGCAAAATACGTTTATCTTCTGTTTTCAGGAAAAGGATAATGATATGCATGAAATAAGTATTTGCATAGCTGAAGTGAACAGTGAGCGCTCGCATCTAACAACTCGAAAGTGTTTGGAATAGATCCATCATATGCGTGTCGTATGATAGGTAATCCTTCGATAACATTCAAGTCTCAAAGTGTGATCGTCAACTCACCAATGGACGTGAGTAAAGTATTTACCATGGGACACCATACCTCACTAAATGTTTGTACAACATTAGTACACCGATCATACATGAAAGATGGGGCATAAACAACATCATAAATTAGCCCCTCCTCGAGAATGCTTTTACCTAGACTCAAAATGTCCTCGGCCCAGTCCAATAACCTGTGATGAATCTAAACTCGTCACCAAATGATAAGGTATTTGTCAGTGGGATGTTTTCATCATGGATCCGTCTACCCAAACAAGGGAGAATCTCAGAAGAAAGCCTATGAAAAAAAGTCAGATGCTAAAGTCCGCATAGTTTGAGCTTGATACTCGCACTCAAGAGTCCAGTCTGTAACTCGGCACGACACGAAAGTTTCATCCCAAAGCTCGCGAGCGAGTGGATTATGCATCTTCAAAAGAATCTCATCGTCATTCTTCTTGCTTGTTGATACAGAGAGATATTTTTTGCTTCAATGCTTAACGTCTCTAAAATATATTATCTTGTATTGCAAGAAATAAAAAATGTCATTATTATTACTAAAAAGGCATAGTAAAATAATGATGATGATGATATATAACAACTCGGTGATGGTAATTTGTCAAAACACTTCGGTCCATTTTGAGAAGTTATCAGTAGCGGCTAGTATATATGAGTGTCCTCCTGATGAATATGCGTGTTATTAGCGGCCCGGGCCTTTGAATTTTGAACTCAAATTTGTGGACATAATTTACACTTCATAGAGAATATGCTTATATATTATTAAATTTTCATCAAAAAAATTCTATTTGGCTTACTCACAAAATTCTACCCAAAAAATTATTAGTTCAGGGCTAACAAATAAGCCTACTCACACCTATTATAAAGAACGAAACATGAGCCTTTTTTTAAAAATTTGTTGGGCCTAGGGCCCCGTCCCCTTCCCCCAAGGCCGCCCTTATTTATTGTTGTTGTTGTTGTTGTTGTTGTTGTTTTTGCTGGTGCAGCGTAATTCTTTCAAAACATGTTTTATTTGATATAGACATTTTTAAATTGAAATAATCGAAATATATAACCAAAATAAAAGTAGTGGACAAAAATGTGACTCTGATAATTTTAGTGACTATAATTTTGTTCGAATACTACATCATAGTGACTATAAAACTTACGAATAGTAACTTATAGTCACATTTTTGTCCATAATTTTTTTTATTAGTAATAGTTTAGGAAAAACCTCTTTTAAAATAGCTTGTTATAATGGATAGTTAAATAAATCTTCTCTAATAAATATCATTTTTGTTATTTAAGTGGATTGGATTTTTTAGGTAGGGTGTTTTTTATTTGACTTATATTGTTTTGAGTTTGATCTGGTCCGTTTAAATCCAGTTTTGTCTAAAAAAAATCAAGTTTGTTCTGGTCTTGTGCAAATGTACCTTATAATTGTAAAAGTCTGTTCTAATATGGTCTATTAGTCGAATATAGTTTGATAATATTACATTAATGATTGCTTACATTAGAGTCCAATAATTTTATATGTTCTATTTCCTACTGTTGTTGTTATTGTCTTCATCGTCATCATTCATCATCATCGGCAGCATCAATTTTAGAGTAAATGTTTGATTAATTGATTACTACTACTAGCGGTCAAGGAATTAGATCACTTTAATAATACAAATTTAGTTAGCCTTTTAAGTCAATCTTTTGAAATATTATAATTAGCATCTCCAATTTCTATTTCCTTGTATATATTGGTATTATGCCAATAAATACGAAGTATATGTTAATACCTACAGAGTAATAACTAAACTAGTAGTACTTCCTTGATTTTAATTGCGGACAAGATATTCCTTTCGATCCGCTAAGATTGTGATATTTTTCCTTTTCGAATCGATCTGTTTTATTTAGATTGTCTCATACTAAATTTAGTAAAATTTATGTGACACTAAACCATTCTTACTTTATTTTTACTTTATCAATTCAATATCAACTACATATACCACTTTTCCTAATAACTTTATCACCTTCTCATGACCTAATGTATGAAATAACTCAATAAGTATCAATGAATCAACTTTGGGTATCCAGTACAATTGTGATGATGAGTCATTTTACATTTGTCTAAACCTTTGAATCTTGCTCTACGGCCTCTACCCCAATTATTACATTTTCATTTATTTTATTATACTAATTCATCTCCCTTAAAGGTATAAGAGAATAATCTCTTGCCCAACCATGTAATACTTCTTACATATTTTTTTAAATTGCAACGGTCCTTTTTCAGATTTGTCAACGATAAGTTTGACCATTAACGTCTTCCATTCCTTATTAGTAAAAAAAATTAAGATTTTGAAAATTTAAAATGAGAAGAATTGAACAACTTGTTTAAAAAAATTAATTTATAATACATTAATAAATGAAATGTAGTCAAAATAGAATATGTGAATGATGCTAAATCACCAATTTTGCAGCTAAAACAGAACTGAGGTAGTATGTTTTTCTAACCCTTCTCTCTCACAACTTGTAACTGTATTGTAACTCAATATAAGCAAACAAAAAAAAAAAGTGGGCTCGGACGGGCTCAAATAGATGAGCCTGCCCGAGCCCAAGATAGGAGGGCATTGACAAATAGCTATACAATAAAAAAAATACATACAAATCTATTGAATGATTATCAAATTTTGGTTTAGGTGAGCATATTGTATACATTGGTGGATATAGTGATGCAGCTAGTGACGAGGGCTTGAAGAATCATCATTATTGCGACAATCTTATCCTTTCTACTTGATATGCCGTGTATATCCCTGTCAATTCAGGAAGAGTAGATTTGGATAGTTAATACTCCCTCGGTTTTGTTTTGTTTGCAACATTGTGTTTTACCACAAGTTTTGAAGGAAAAGTAATAAGAGTAACATAAAATGATATAAAGTAAGAAAAGGGTTAAGTGATAAACTAGGTGAGAAAAGGTAATGACAAAAGGTAAGAGCGTTTATGTATTTTGAAAGATGAAACTTTCAATAAAGGGAAAGTGTTGCAAGGATTAAAATACTTCCCGAAAAGGAAAGTGTTGCAACAAAAGAATAGAGACCGAGTAAAAATCATTTTGCTTAAAATCTTGTGGGTTCAAACTAAGAATTTAATAGGAGAAGTGAGTGAGTATTAATTTTGTATGTTTACTGAACCAAAACCTTGCAATAATAGAAAGGTTTCAATTGGATTGATATTTTCAAGTTTGGTATGATTGTGCTCTATTTAGCTGTTTCGGTCTATTGAGTCTGACCTGATCTATATAAGTCTATCTATATTGGGTCAGTCTGATTTGTTCCGTTTAAACAGGTTTCATCTAACCTGGTTTAGTATGAACAGATGGAATTGAAGTCATTCTTAATGTTGCCTATCTACTCTCTTCAATGTAATAAGAAAAACGAGGTAATGAATCCAAAGATTACCTGAGAGCAATGGCGCCTGGGAAGATGAAGGCAAGACATACAGTTGTGGTCGATCCCAAGAACTGGAAAATGTACCAAATACTTGGAATAGCAATAGCAGCAACATAAGTCAATGCTAACAAGAACACAGAAAGAGACACGAATCTGGTCGAGTCATTGGCCAACAAAATCTTCTTAGGGAAGAAGAGTTCATCAATGTTAGCTCTCAATGGGTAGTTGACCAATGGGAAGACCAACACCAAGTGCAAAGCATAGCTCAACCGTACAATGTCATTCAAAACTGAGGTAACTGGTGAGCCAGAAGATGAAGATGTCTGGGCAAAGTTCACAAGTATGTCGGCATTAGTCGATTCGCCAAACAAGAGGTACCCAAAAATCCCAATGGAGAAGTAGATGAGGGAACACAGAACCAGTGAGATCTTCACGGCGGAAGCCATGGTAGAAGCTTTGCCTAACTCTATTCCAATGGGATGAACTGCATGAACACATTCAGTTCACCTCTTGGTTAATGTCAACAGAAATGATCATACTAGTAACTGACCAATATTCCAAGATAAATTTGAGTAAAAAATGGAGGCATGATGTTTAATTATGTTAATGCTTCAAGATATACTCAATTGATTACCATTGAAGTGAAATGTGAAGGCGGTGACTATGACGGGAACGGCGGTGAAAAGGTTAAAGAAGGAAGCACTGCTGTCCAACTGAGGCAGCAACCTTAGGGTCTCAGTGTGGCCACAGAAGAGGGCATAGATTGCCATGACTATGCATATGCCAACGAACACTACTGATAGGAGTACTGCTAAGGCTGAGCTCCACCACAATGACTCTGCAAACCATCACCATATATACATATATATAATTAGATAGAATGTTTTAGGTAAGAGTAAATGCCTATCAATATATAAATGGTGATCAACTTTTGATGCTATAATAATTTATCTATGTTAGCATAGCAACGCGGAAAACATGTAAGAAAGCCATATTTTAATAAAAAATATGTGTTCAAAGATTTTTTGGAGAGGTTATGTAGAGTTTACAAAATGGAAATTTACTTCAATCAAGTTACTAATGAATATTTTAAATAATAAACCCCATACTCATGCTTTGAACTTTCCAAACATGCTATATCACTTTATTTGTATCCACTATCCACTTATGGACATGTCGAAATACTCTAAGTACTCATATCCATATAAAATAGGATAACGCATAGAGCCACTGCAAGTACTTGGGCCAGAGTCTCGCTCCCTATTTGCTAGTGTGTAATTAAAGTCTAATTTACATCTTCCCAGTTAATTGTCCAGTCGGTGCGCGCTGGGAGTCCTTAGAGGAGTCATCCTTTTTTAGGACCGCGCAATAGACTCAAACAGATTATACAAGACTTGAACAATTGTAAGACACACATAGAACAAACATCTATTAGACCATACTTAAATAAACCAGACCAGATAAAAAAAGAAGACCAAAAAATTCCAATTTAATTAAAAACATACTAAGTCCGTAAAACATTGGTTAGAGAAGTTTATTTACCTACACGGCGGTACAAAACAAGAGGAAGCAAGACAAAGAGGACAACCAAAAAGATGGAGAATGCGCGGGAAGTCCACCAATGGATGCCAAACCACTCTTGCAAAATCCCCAAGTGTTCTGCCCCTTTCCCACATAGCACATCCCCTGATCGTTATTTACGCATACATCATCAATTCAGGTCACAAAGTTAAAGACTTACCATGTGTTTGAATGTAGTAGGGGTAAGAAACGTTAATAATAGAAGTGTTAATAACATACTGTTAAAAAGTATAGGCACAACTAAGGAAGGGAAGGTGAGTATAAATGTAAAGTATAAATTTACATTATTTGAGAATCGTAAATAGATAAAATGCTAATTAACCAAATTGACATATATGTTGAAGAAATATACATGGAATTGAATTCATATGAAATAGAATTTCAATGAATTTTGACCAGTTTGAATTATACCAGCCATATGTTATATATCCCATCACATGAAGAATCAATTTTGATATTTACACATAATACGTACTATGTATATTTTAGAACCCATTGAATGAAATTAAAGAGATGTTTTGGAATTGGTGTGACAATGCCACAACAATACTGACATTTATGGTAGAATTTTGGAAAGAAGATGAAGAATAAGGATAGTGAAAGAGATGGAGAAAACAGTTGCTAGTCTAACACACCGAAACACTCCAAACTGGAGTGTTAAAAATACAGAATTGAGATGTTAGGACTTAGGAGGGTTACCTATAACACATAAACAACTCTAGATACTTAGCTTATTAACACTCTTAATAGTTTCCTAGTATTTCATTATCTTCTTCACAAACAAGTGTTAGTACCAACATTTCTTAACATTCTAACACCCGTAGGCCGTAGCACCCCATCCAAATATTGTGTTAAAGATTTAGTTTGACATATAACATATTTTCTTCACTCTAATATTTTTGGAAATGTTTATTTGTGCAAAAGGTTAAAATAGAAATGAAAAGAATCATATTTTTTGTTTTACTTGTATCATATCAATCTCACATTAGATTCATGTCTTTTACTTTCATTACTAGTAGATGGATATTGTTTATTGCTTACCGTGTTCCTTCAAATTAATATTGCAGCATTG